GACTTCATCTTTCATTCTATAATTTTCCATTGATGCTCAACGTCTTATGTGAACAGTACATATACCAGGCAATGTGTAGATGTACGAAAAAGGGTAAAAACCACAAACTATATATGGCAGAAATGGTAGCAAATAAAACATGTATTATTATTTTATCTGATTTAATAATATTCTTCTAAGAATCGGCGCTGTCGCCGCCACTGAGCCTGCGTCATTTCCACCCCGATACAGAACATTTGCGGTTGATTTTGTTTATTTTAACTACTCTGTGTCCATTTTCCCCTATTGAAAACAATGATAGTATCGACCTTGACAACTTACTTGTCCCCTTGCATCCAAAGTTCGAAACAGCCGGACAAGCCTTTTCGATTTATATAGGTGCTTACCTACGTCTCTGTCCGGTACGTCACCACTACATACCATACAGCCGACAGCATTCTAAACCGCATCACATCCATGTGACAACCAAACATATATATTTTATTTATTTAATTCAGGCTACATGGCCCATATTATAAATACCTTATAGACTAACATACATAAGAAATAATAATCTATACATCTATACATATAAATAAAATTGTGTCTGTTTGTAATATTGAAATAACCGTTTTTTACTACATGCATATGAATATAAATACGGTTCATACACCAGAATAACATATTTTACAATTTTTGTCTGTCTGTTTCCCTTATCCATTGGCTGCACCGATTTTGACGGGACTTTTTTTGGCAGGTAGCTGATGTAATAAAGAGTAACTTAGGCTACTTTTATTTTAGAAAAATAAAGTTAAATTCCACGCGGACGAAGTCACCGGAACAGCTAGTAAAATATAAATTGAAATTGTCTCCATGGTCACGAACTGACGACGGCAGTCTGCCAGATAGACCACACCCTTTGGCCAGTAGTCTTCCTTTATGAAGGTGAGTAGCATGTCAGTGGGGACCCGGGCCACCTTATAGAGTAAGTAGATTGTTTTTGTTTTTTTGTTGGATTTGAAGTAATCTGAACTGATGACCCTGTAGCTAGTAATGTGCCATGTCAAGTTGACGTCCACGCCATTCCCCTGGAGACCATCATGATAAACTCCTGGTGAATTTGTCACGATGGGCTAACTGACCTGACCTCATGTTCATCTTATCATCCTCCACTGGTGCCCCGCCAGCGTAAACCTTTAGCGCAGGCGGGTGCGCCATTCCATTATCATCCATACAAAAAACACCCAAACTTTTGGGTTAAGAGGGTTGTTAATAATCTGAACTGATGATCCATGTCAGGTTGACCTTCACGCCATTCCCCTGGATTTCAGGAATTTATCAGATTCATGATAAATTCCTGGTCAATCCGCCACGATGGATTAACTGACCTGACCTCATGTTTACCATATCATGTTCCACATGCGTATACGTAAGCACAGACTTATGCATTATCGTCATTAAAAAAAACCACTGATTAATTTTATTTTTCCATTTTCCCTTCAGTCTACACAAGCAAGCATCAAATCCACACTCAAGCATAATGTACTCTCAAGTTAGCAGGCCGTCCTACTTAGCCTACTAATATTTTAAACGCGAAATTTTGTGAGTATAGATACAAGATATAGATAGATTTCACGCAAAAACTACTGAACGGATTTTGTTGAAACTTTACAGTAATATAGCTTATACATCAGAATAACGCATAGGTTATAAATGTCATGGGAGTGAAACCGCGGTCACAGCTAGTCATACATCAAGCGACACGCACGGTTTTTGAGTTTATGCGATTGTAAGGGGTAAGGATCTGCTGAACCGATTTTGAAAATTGTTTTAGTGTTTGGCTAGCCATCGTGTAATTGATGAAGGCTATGTAGTAGAGTTGCAATGAGAAATGTAGGGAAAAATGTAAGCAAAAACGGGGGAAATATAATGAAATGAAACGAAAGAAACGAAAAGAAATTAAACGAAAGGAAACGTAACGAAACGAAACGAAACATTAAAAACGAAATGAAATTATATTTATTCAGTAGATGTTAAAAAAAACTAAAACACACATTCATTGCAACAATTACAAAAAAAAAGTACATTTACCATTTATGAAATCTTTTTCTTTGGACAAAGGACATAGGCTACTTTGTAATGCGAAAAAAGGGATGTAAGGGGTTGAAAGGTGAGAATATTTTACGTCATTTAAGATAGAACGATGAAATCTTTTTCTTTGGCTGTTTTGGGTTAGAATATTGGATATATGTGTGTTTTTCTTTATCTGGTCAAGGTTAATACGCGGACGAAGTCGCGTGCACAGCTAGTGTTATATATTTGCATCTATATGAATTTATATACATACTGTATGTCAATTTGTATCATTCCAACTAAACATATAATTTTGTTTGTGCGTGATACACATACGTATCACCGTATTTAGTTTTATGTTAAAGTGACGCGGTCGAAGGTCGATGTGCTCGCATTATTACTAATAGTACGGGGGACCTTTTAACGTAATTGTTTAGAGACTCTATGAGTCTGCTGTAACAAATACAGTCTCCATTATATGACGTCGCTTGATGTATAAATGACCAGTTGCGCCCGAGGTTTCCTTCGCATGAAAATAGCTTAAGTGTTATTCTGATGTGTAAGCTGTCACTGAAAAGTTTCATCAAAATCTGTTCAGTAGTTTTTGCGTGAAAGAGCAACAAACATCTATACTCACAAACTTTCGCATTTATAGTATTATTAGCTTATCCGCCCAACTTTGTCTGCGTTTCATTTCCCCTCCTTTTGCAATATTTTTCATTACAGCTCCGCTCCTATTGATCGTAGCGTAATGTTATATAGCTTAAATCCTTCCTCGACAAATGAATCTAACACAAAAATAATTTTTCAACTCGAACCAGTAGTTCCTGAGAATAGCGCGTTCAAACAAACAAAAGAGGGGAAAGGGGATTGTTTAGTAATGTGCAGTGATGATCTTATCGCTAGCAATGTACCATATCAGGTCGACCTCCACGTGATTCCCCTGAAAACCATCATTTTAAATGCCTGGTGAATTTGCCACAATGGCCTAACTGACCTGACCTTATATTTATTATATCACCCTCCACTGGTGCCCCGCCAGCGTAAAAAGTTAGCACAGGCTGGTGCATCATTCTATTATCACAGATAACATAATATTACATATTATTATCAAACATAAATAACACTCCTAGGTTATTTTGGTTGGATTGGTAGTAAAGTTATATATGTTTTTTATATATTATGTATTATATATAAGTAAGTATAATAATAATAATCTCAGGACAATTCACACAGCACCATCTAGTCCCAAGTTAAGCTAGCTAAAGCTTATGTTATGGGTACTAGATAACTGATACAAGTACACAGATATTTTTTTTTCGTAAATAAATACATAAAAAACATCCAGACCGATACAAACAATCATACTCATGAATACAAATGTTTGTGCCGTGCGAGGAATCGAACCCGCGACCATCGGACGTAAAGCGGTGTGCTAGACCGTTAGACCACCGAGGTCGTCAAAATAATGTAGGTATCCAAATAATGTATGTATTTGGATGTATATATTTAATTTATTAATGTACTTTATTTATACCTACTTACTTGTATTTATTTTCATGTTATTTTCTTAATAATGCACCGCCCACTAATCGCTGTTTACCTCATGGACTGTCAGAAAATGCCTTATGGTGTTAAGTCCGCTATTTGCATCTTTATTTTTGTATTTGTGCATTAAAGTTTTAATAAATAAATAAATAACGTTGACATTTATCTTAATGGATATAAAACTACGAAATTACTAACTGAAGAAGACTTTCACGTAAGCAATGTAATCCCAGAAACTTTTTAACAATAAATATTATAATCAACAAATAAAAAAAAAACTTACAAACATTAAAGATATAGATATGAAGTGGGTGCAACACTTTTATTTTTATATATAAATATAATAATAACAGTTCAAATTTACCAATAACAATTACTGTACTGAAAACTGGTCTAAATACAAGTATTTATGTTTGAAAATAAATAGAGTCAAAAATTCACGAATTCTGAAGGATTCAGATGTTCTGAACCAAAAATTAGGGCAGAAAACGAAGCATATAACAAACTAATTGTTTCACTTCAGCGAAACTTTTTACAAACCTAAAAACTTTACAATTAAAATTAAGTAACTATCAGCGCCATCTGTTGAGGAGTAGAGACAACTTTCCGACAGCGACATCTTAAAAATTATACGGAAACTGCTAAACAGCACTAAACGTGTCACAATATTCCTCTATGTAACTATACATATAGGTGCTCACTGCAAATTCACAACCTCATCTCTATACGGAAAGTAGGCAGAGGTTTTTTTTTGTGTATGATAATGGAACGGTGCACCCGCCTGCGCTGACGGTTTACGCTGGCGGGGCACCAGTGGAGGATGACAAGATGAGCAAGAGGTCAGGTCAGTCAGCCCATCGTGACAAATTCACAAAGAATTCATCACGACGGTTTCCAGGGAGAACCGCGTGGAGGTCGACCTAACATGGTACATTGTTAGCAATAGGAGTTATAGGAATAATATGAATATTTATGTTTCGCTGACGTTGCACCAGAGTATGACGAGTATGAGGCCAGGTCAGTTGTTCCATCGTGGCAAATTCACAAGGAATTTGTTAGTTTCAAAGCGTGGAGTCCAAGGACATAATATGTACATTCTTAGCAAGATAGTTGTTATTCAACGTTACTAACAAACCCCAATTATTTTATATATGTTAGTCTATAAGATATTTATAACAAGGGTCATAATCATTACATAGTATAAAACAAAGTCGCTGTCGCGGTCTGTCCGTCCCTATGTACGCTTAAATCTTTAAAACTACGCAACGGATTTTGAAGCGGTTAGATAGAGTGATTCAAGAGGAAGGTTCATATATATAATACATGTACACTCGTGCGAAGCCGGGACGAGTAGCTAGTATATAAATAATAAAAATAAAACAATGGTATGGTGTGGTATATTTATTTATTCGTTTTAGTGTTGAGTTTGATGGCGCGGTATGCAGCGACTGCGTCGAGCCGGGCTCGCTCGCGCCGCATGCGGTCTGCGGGCGGCACGTGGCGCTGCCGCTGCTGAGGACCGGTTGCCGCCGGGTTGGCCGGCAGCAGCTCATTCAGCAGCAGGTCCCGGCGACCAGGCTGCGGGAAACCAATGCTTTAATACAACTTGACTCACCCTTGGGACATGATAATTTGTCATTTTATAATATGGTATCAGTCTGCATTGTATATTATTACATGTAGTACTTTTTTACAGTTATTAATAACAAGAAAGGTAGTCAGTGTGACGCAACATGCCATCTTACTTGCCACACAGCAACTGCTTATATATTCTGCTGATTTCTGGCTGAAGTTGGAAATATATATATTAATATCTGAAGCAAATACTTTGTGCCCCTGTTTACAAAAGTTGCACAAATTGATGACTATGACATTTCGCACACTTATCTAAATATATATAACTCAAAGGCGACTGACATAGTGATCTATCAACGCACAGCCCAAATCACTGGACGGATCGGGCTGAAATTTGGCATGCATATAGATGTTATGACGTAGGCATCCGCTAAGAAAGGATTTTGATTAATTCTACCCCCAAGGGGATTAAATAGGGAATATACATTTGTATGAAACTTTGTTAATTTTATACCGATCGGGCTGAGACTTTGCATGCATAAAGCTACTATAACGTAGGCATCCTCTAAGAAATGATTTTGATAAATTCTACCCTTAAGGGGATAAATTAAAGCAAGCGAGGCCGCGGGCAAAAGCTAGTAGTTTATATAGAGAAAGAGTGCAGAATGCTAAGATTTTTTAATTATGCATGAAAAATAAATTAACTCAATAAAAAAATATTACAGACACTACCATGTATTTGACACACATACCTTTTGTTTATTGTTAAAATTAAGAATAGACTAATATTGTTTGTTTTTCATATTACTTGTAATCTTTAACAGAAACTTTAATATGTTCAAACTTATAATTTAAATTAATCTACCATAATAAATTTCGACCGCTGGGCGACCACTATAAACATAAAGAAAATATGTATGAAATATTTTCCGCCAGGAGAGTGTAGGAGCTCACCCTGGGCGCGGCTCGCCTGGCGGCGGTGAGTGTGGGTGGCGCCTGACAACATTCCCCGAATGGCACGCTCTCGTACACCGGCGAGTCCTCGTGAGCCGCCTGCAACAACCATACACTCGTTACAATAGAATAGAATAGAATAGAAAATCATTTATTCAAATAAACTTAATTTAGGCACTTTTGAATAGTCATAGTTATCATTCTTTTAATCTACCGCTCATTCGGAAAGCTGTCACATTACTTGCGTGTTGCACTCGTTCATGTCACACACACTTTATAGGTAGATAAAAAAAATATTTTGGGTTAAAGGGCACACAAGGTGCAGTAATATAAAAAAAAATTACACAAATACATTAGTTAGGTAACAAAATACAATATAGGCACAAAAATGTATGAATAATGTTGTGTGTTATATGCCATACTCAAAATAGGCAGCACTTCTGTGTATTGTTTGCAAGAGCAGCAAACCACTGATTTCCAGGTATTGTATAGAGACATATCCAAGGACGCTCTTCCTTACTAATCGGTAATTTTTTATTTTTATTTTTATACTACGTATGTGGCAAACAAGCATACGGCCCATCTGATGATAAACGGTTACCGTAGCCTATGGACGCCTGAAACACCAGGGGTGTCACATGCGCGTTGCCGACCCTTAAGAAACCTTAAACCTTAAACCCTAACCCTTCTTGAAAAACCCCATGCTGTAGTCTCTCGAGAAAACCTCGACAGGTAGTTCATTCCACAATCTAAGTGTACGCGGGAGGAAGCTCCTCAGAAACCGCTCTGTCCGAGACCACTTAGGTTGCAGCGTGTAGGGATTGGAAGGAAATCCCTGTCTATGGCGAGTATATCATTACTGTATGATTAAGCGTTACAAAGACATAGCAAAAATGATGAGGCGAAAGGGTATTATCAGTGACATAGATTTTATGGTCCAGTTGGCATACCGTCCCTCCAGGAGGAAACCATCTAAGTTCATTCCAGAGAGAATTACAATGTGCTAACTGATCTGACGTCATCATGTCATCTTTTACTTGTGCGCCACCAGGGGGAGGGGATGGTTAGTAATGTGAACTAATGACCCCGTAACTGCCTACAAATGTACCATGTCAGCTTGTAAAAAAAATTAAATAATAATAAATGTTTGGGAAACTACTCTGCTACCAAAATGTTAGGGAAGCGTCAGTTTCGTACCTGTATGGTTCTGCGGATTTCTTGGGCTTCAGGATCTCGAAGATATCTTCGCTAGCTTTCACACACTTTCACAGGTTCACAGTAGGTTTAACACAGTTCCAATTTATTTCAATTCACAACACAATGCGCGCGCGCGTCAAGGCCGCTGTACGGTCAGTTTGTTACTAGTTAGGGAGGGGAAGGGAACGCGCGGGAACAGAAAACTAACGGACTCTAATATAATATAATATCTGTGCTTACGATGATACAGGGTAGATTTTGAACAATAAAAGCTTGACCCTCAAGCAGTACTCCTTGTAAATCATCATTATGATTTCCTGTTAAACTATGGACTAATTGACCTTACATCTATCTTATCATCCTCCACTGGTGTGTAATATTTATATTATTTTTAAATTTATATTTTTGAAGAGTTTTTTTATATGTCATGTTATTATGATATACTTCACTTATTGTATTATTCTCTTATTGTCTTGTGGTCAGTTCGCAATTGCATTCTAATATATTTTACTATCATACTATATACGTGTTTTCATCATTTAAATACTCATACAGTCCACCGATCCATTACAACCATCATCGTGATAATTTAAAACTAAAAAATTCTGAATTACCAAAAAACTGAGGAGTCACAGCATGCAACCATTATACATACATTTAACGCTCGCAACTTCTTTTCTTTCTTCTTGAGCGCGAACCGCTGCGCCCTGGACAGCGGCGGCGGAGAGTCGGGTCCGGGCGGCGGGCGGGCGGCGAGTGCTCGCTTGCGTTTCCTCTCGCGGCGGTCTCGATGCTCCGCCATCCGTTCACCCTTTATATCATCCTCCTCCAAATCTTGCTGTAATTTAACGAACATTAATTAGTAGACAGCATTAAAAAAATAGAAAAAAATCATAAACTTTAAAAAGTATATTTTTCATAATGAATGTACATCAATTTGAAAAGTTATATTCTACACAAAATAAGTGTGAAATAATAAAATATGATAATCTATAAATAATTAACTAAATATTATATGTATGTACTAGCTGTACTCGCGACTTCGTCCGCATGGAATTTAACTTTATTTTTTTTTTAATAAAAGTAACCTACGTTACTCCTTATTACATCAGCTACCTGCCAATAAAACTCCCTTCAAAATCGGACCAGCCATTTCAGAGATTAGCCGAAACAAACATACAGACGAAAATTGTAAAAAATGTTACTTTGTCCTATGTACCGTATTTATATTCATATGCATGTAGTAAAAAACGGTTATTTCAATATTACAAACAGACACTCCAAGTTTCTTTATATGTATAGATTATGTAAATGCCTATAATTTTTTGTTATTTAATAATTAAACCACAAATCTAAATAACTCAAATGCTGGATAAATATCAAGACAATGAAGAATCAAACACATACAGGATAGTGTTGTGGCTGTGTAGCGTCATGCAGGGCTCTGATGGCTCCATTGATGCGGAGACTGAAGTCACGGCCCGACTCGCCCGGCAGCTTGCGCAGCTGGGAAATTGGGTTTTTGGCCATTATTTTTTTATTTCCATCATCTGTAAATTTTATTTAATGTAACTAGCTACTCACCCCAGCTTCGCATGTACATATATTATATATATAAACCTTCCTATAAAATAGTCTCTATTTTCTATCTATCTAGAATCACTCTATATATTAAAAAAAAAGCTTCAAAAGTCGTTTGCGTAGTTTTAAAGACTTACGCATACATAGGGACGGACAGACGGCGACTTTGTTTTATACTATGTAATGATACATCATAAACAACATGTGTTCATATCAGATACAATATACATACTACTATGCATGGGAAAGTGTGTCTGTCTACCAGACTGTTTTTATGACCGAATTGATGAATGGATTATCATCCACTGGTGCCCAGCCATTGCATACTGTTAATGAAGGCATACTATTCCATATTGACATCAATGGTAACTAGAGTTGACAGATTTTTTTTCAGCCTAGAAGGGGCAAATGCTTATATAAGCAAAAAAATACAGGAATTTAGTTTCTTACCTGGAACAAATTATCAAAAGACAAGTTGTCTAGCATAGATAGATCCATTTAATAATAAAAACATAGAACGATTTGGAAACGGGACAGAGTCAGTCCCGCCAGGACATTTTAAACTAAGCCAAAAATACGGGATGTCTGGCAATGGCAAAATTCTAATGGTAACAGTTAGTGACTACCTTTACCGCTGGCTCGAGGCTTCTGTTTCTTTTTGTTGTTAATTCGTGTGTTGTGTTTATCACGGAAGGCGAACAGGTCGATGAGCGACCGCGGCACTGGCTGCTCGTCGGGGTCCTTCGGCGGCGCGTTTATTTTCGTCTTTAATCTACAACATTATATATATTACATAGTTAGATAGAAATTTACACATGACGGAAACAATTTTGGAATCATTACATAGTATAAAACAAAGTCGCTGTCGCTGTCTGTTCGTCCCTATGTATGCTTAAATCTTTAAAACTACGCAAAGGATTTTAAAGCGCTTTTTTTTAATAGATAGAGTGATTCTAGGGGAAGGGAGGGAATTCTATATATAATACATGTACACGAGGGAAAAGCCGGGGCGAGTAGCTAGTAAATTATAATGAATGAGTTACGCTTGCAAACGTCGCGCATTTTGCTCCAGGGGATCTTTGACGCCACGATGTTTCTTAGCTGGAATTTTTCTACCCATACTGTAATACTACATTAAATTATTTATACACTGAGTAACAATCTGGCTTTTAATAATATTTTATATACTTTTAACAACTGAAACTAAAAAAAAACAGAAATCTAAAACACATGTATTTGACATTAGTGATAGATGACAATCACAGCAACCATGACGTATACAGAGTATATATATTTATAACGTAAATCCAGAAGGTAACCATTTAAGCGTTATTTTTGCACATTTAATGCTAATATAATAATAAAAGAAACTAATTATTGTCCTTTAAAATCACAAAAAAATAGAACTGTATTTATTAGGTGAATAATATTTTTTACATTCTAAAATTTATCTTCGATAAACTAGAACTATTGTGTAAAAATATATTAATTTACTCCGAAAACATAATTTTATTCTTTGTAAGACAGATCCCTTGTAATATTTTTTTTTTGCAATGAAAATTGTGATTTATCATTTCAAACGAAATGTCTTTGTTTTCGTCTTAAAAAGAACTCGACCATAAATAAAAGAAAGGGAGAGGGAAATGTCAATTATTATCCACCAATGGTAGCACTTTACTGTGCTTGTTTGTACCTTCCGATGTTGTGGAAGGAGGTGACATAAGCAGAACGTTTACTTGTGAGCATTGTGGACATTACTAAACAAATATACTTATTGACATTTTCTTACTAGTGGCATATTAGGCAGTTTTCCTTAAAATTTAGGGCAATTTTATTACTACGATGAGAAGGAGGCACTAATTTGGGATTTTAGCAAATTAAATAATTAAAACAAACAAGAATTAAGCAACAAGGGGCTTAAAAAAGTTTCACGAATATCCACTACAAGAAGCGGTCAAAAAAGTCAAAAAAGGTCACTCAAAGTATAAAAAAGGGACTATTAATATTACAGACTTCTTTATTAAGGGGAAATTTTGGATAAAATTTAGGAGAAAGCCAGACACTGACGCCATAGAATATTTTAATACTATTGGATTTATCGATATGCATAAAATATTGATGTTGACATAGATGTCGTCGTCGATCTATACTTATCGATGTACGTGAGATATCACATGAGAAATGTAGAAAATGAGAAAACATCGGTCTATTAATGATCTTGTTTGTATGATCACACTAGTATCTGCAAATCTTACTTATGCAATTTTCCACTGTTTTGTTCTTGTTTATTTGTTGATCCACTACCATTTTTTTACATTGTTATTCGATTATTACTACCTTGTTTGTAATATGAAGTGTGTGATGCTACTCATTTCATGTCGATGTCTAAACATCGACATTTATACATTAAATATCGATGTTTTTTCCACGTCGATGAATATCGATCATCTCTATTTACTTTATTGTTTGTTACACATAAGGCTATTCTTTAAACAGTGTAGACGCATCCTTCCTTCCTTGGTTGATCGCACAGTTTATTTTCAACAGTATAACTTATTGTGTAACTTAAGTCCTAAATATATTTATAAATATTTTCTTAAAGACTTTGTTCGGTAGTAATAACTTAAAGATTAAAGTTATAATTTAAAAGTAATTAACTTTTCAACAATATTGTTTAATACGTATTAAGTCGTCTTTGTTATTAAACATTACACAGCGTGGTATTTTTATTGCGCGCTTGTGAATGGCTCTATGAAACATCGACTGCCACTCGAGTGCTAGTGTGTTGTACGGTTTGTGTTGTGCGGGAGGGGGCTTGTTTAGCTAGCAAGGTCGTTCTTTGTGTCAAAAAATTTAGTTCTTGTGACGAATTATTAGTACTATTGTAAAATAGCATTTAATTTTACATCGAATAAAACTTTTTAATATATTACAAAGATCGTGCGTGCATGTCGTGTGTAGGAATTAATTTTTGAAACAGATCTGTTTTGGTGGAACGTTCCAATGAGTTTGGGAGCAGGTCAAAACACAGAGGGAACAAATGCAGGAGGAATATTTGTACAATTCAACCAGGACTGCACGTAAGTACATATTCATTCGTTCAGATAATAGACAACAAAATTGTGGGCAAGGAACAACAATGGTACAAAGGCGGAGCCCTTCAAGGTCCATGGCTGAGGGTTACGAAAGACTACAATGTCACGATTTAGCGTCAATTTTGCCACTAGTGCGATGTGCAGATGACGCGGTGATGCAATATGTCATTGCCAGTTATTTCGTAATGAGCGACGTACACATCTCCGTTGTATTGTTGCTCTACTGGCGTAAACAAACATGGCGTCCACTAGTTACCAGCTGTTACGCTGGCCTCGACGCCCTCACCTTCGCTGCCCGTCGTCCAGGGCCACCATACAGCAGTAGATCTCAGCACAACCCTGGTGGACATTTCTTTTGTCTGAAATGAGGACAAGTCCCACTACTGTCTCTGTTTAGTTTGGTTGTTGTGTTACATCTATTGTTATCAGTTTTATAGATATAGTTTTTTTATTCTAATCACTCAGTGGTATTTACCCATTTTTTTTAATGTATTGTTATTATAGTTGATGGTCAGTCTGATCACTGTGGTGACCATATCGATCATGATAATTGTGACAATTACCACTTCATATTTAACCTCTGATAATATTGGACATGGGGGGGAAGAGGATTGTGAGTAATGGTGGTCTAGTGTCACCATTGCTAGCAATGTATTCTGTTAGGTCAATCTCCTCACAGTTCCCCTGGAAACCATTGTGGTTAATTCCTGGTTATTTAATCACGATGGGCAAACTGACTTAACCTCATGCTCATCTTATCATCCTCCACTGGTGCCCCGCCAGCGTAAACCGTTAGCGCAGGACACCATTCCATTATCAACCATAAAAAATAATATTGGACATAGTTTTTTCTTATGTAAGTGTAATATGAACTTCTAGTAAAGTAACACTTGAGTCCCTTAGTCAGCGGATACAACGAAATGGTTACATATATTGTAACTCCAGCATTGGACATAAAAAAAACATGTATGATGTGTTTGGTTGAAGGATGAAATAAAACAGTCAATTAATAGGGAGGCATGACCTCTTAGGGCCTGTTATTTGATTCATGGTAATTGCTGGTAATTTAAAAAAAAATGTTTACTAACTGTTAAGGTCATGTTGAATAGTTATTCCAGATATATTTCGTGGGCAATGCATGAGTGGTGCACTGGTTGTCTATGATATGATGTCAGTATTCATGTCCACAGCTACGGTTATCACTCTTTTTATTGGGTTGTTTAGGCTATTGTCAGGTGCATGGACCTGTAGCACTGCAACCTACATAGATCTATTGTGCTCGCCCTTTTCAAACTTCGCTACCTAGACCCGTCAGGGACAAGAATTGTAGGATATTGTTATGAGTGATGGTTTTTATCTCCTAAGGATAGAGTGTAAACTTTCCAAAGGAGATATTTTGTTTATGTGTGAGTGGGTTACAACCACATAGGATGTGTAGTGGCGTTTCCTCTTCAGTTTGGCAAAATATGCAGATTTGTTCTGCATTGTACCACTTACTATCATACAACTTGTTTAATTGCACTGGTCTTAAAAAATATGTGTATTAATATTTACAATTTTGGTTTGTTTAACAGTATCGCAATTAGCAACTCCCACATGGTATTTTTTTTATTAAACCACAAATTTCATAATGCAGATGAAATGCAGTGAGTTTGCAGGACAATGTTTTTGTGTAAATCTTATAATATACATGTTATATAATTAGCTAATTTCAACAAACGAAATACTTAAAGAAATACTGATTAGAGATAAGTTTGTGTCACTAATTATATTAAAATCTCATTATTGTATATTCAAATGTACTTAACATTTCAATTTCAAATATATTCTAATGATATATTAATGTAACCATTCATTTGTATACAGTTAAATGTTAATTAACTGAAATTATTAACGATAAATGAAATTAAGAAGGAAGACTCATAATAAAGTCCTCTACCAAAGCATCAAATAATAGTTAAATCCTTCCCTTTAATAATGTGGCCCATGACCAATGATGGACCATTTTTCTTTAAATGTATAGTATTATCTGCCGCTTCATTTGGCCTATCTTTTTTATCTTGTATATGTGTGTTTTTTTTTATATTCTTCTTACATACATATATTAACACTTACTTATTTTTATTGCTTATGGTTTTTAAGACTCCTGTTGCATACTCTAAAAATATTTGTCTATCACATTTATCTGTTATTACTTTTGGGAAATTTCATAATTTTATTTCTATATGTTGGACATTATTGACTTGCTACCATTTCATTTTTTTTTATGGATGGTAATGGAATGATGTACCCGCCAGCGCTGCCGAATTACGCGGGCGGGGCACCAGTTGATGATGATAAGATGAGCATGAGGTCAGGTCATCACATCCTGACAAATTCACCAAGAATTTATTACGATGGTGTCCAGGGGGAACCACGTGGAGGTCACCTGACATTGTACATTGCTAGTAATAAGATCAGCAGTCCACGTTATTAACAATCCCATTCCTCTCCTCCCCCCCCCAGGTCACTAGTAGCAGGCAGTAGCAGCGGCTATCACCTGTTCGCCTTGACTCCTGACGATGGAGTGGAGGAGATCTACGCGAGTCGGTCGGGGCAGGACACCTGCCTCGTGGACCGGCTCTTCAGCAGCTCGCTCGTCGCCATCGTCACCGTGTCAGCGCCCAGGTAACAACACTCAAAATGACCTGATGATTCATACACAATGAAGTGTTTGTTGATACTGACTGTGTAGGTCGCTGGGGTCGGTGCAGTCAACGATGGTGGTAATTAAAGGCGCAATATTAATGTACAATAGTATATATGTACATCTGTACATATAAATAAAATTGGAGTGTCTGTTTGGTGATATTGTTATAAATAATTTACATGTATTTTTAAATATTTATATTTTTATACTGTAAATATTGTCATTTTGTTGCTATGGTTTTGTTATTGATTATTCCTCTTGCCTTCTACTACCACACATACTTTGTTACGAAATATATTTTATAACTAGCTGTACACGCGACTTCGTCTGCGTGGAATTTAACTTTATTTTTCTAAAATTTAGTAAAAGTTACTCCTTATTACATCAGCTAACTGACAATAAAAGTCCCGTCACAATCGGTTTAGCCATTTCAGAGAATAGACGGAACAAACAGACAGACCAAAATTAAAAAAAAATGTAAGTTTGGTTTATGTACCGTATTTATATTCATATGCATGTAATAAAAAACGGTTATTTCAATATTACAAACAGACACCCCAATTTTATTTATATGTACAGAGTATAGATGTATAGATGAGTCGGTGTTGTTGCCCCCGTAGATTATTCAAACACAAACCGTTATCAATACAAATAAATAAAATTCAAGTGTCTTTTTGTAAATTCAAATGATCAGCTTTACACAAAATTTACAGAAACTATATAAGGTAAAACAGCACAACGTTTAAATTACTAAAATAATATTTCTAATTATTAATCTCTTGACGATTTATTAAAATGACTCAGTCTCCACTTTTAAGAACAGACAATACGAATGCAGACCTACTATTTTTTTTTGTTCTGTTTATCCTTTAAGGCAAAGGGAACTGCGCCTATACAGCCATGCAGATCTATTGTTATGAAAAAAAAACTGACATACTTATAAATTTCAATGGAGCTGTCTTTTGTGGATTGTATTTTACGAGAATAGGATTTGAGCAAGAGATGCATAATGTGCCGGTTCGGTTTCATCAAGGCTTCCCAGAACTTCGGGCTTGTCCGAACTTACCTTTTGAACGGGTTACCTGTTTACCGCCAAAACCAACAATAGGTGCTCTGCAGTATCAACTCTTGCGTTCCTTTATTGTTTCGTAAATAAACTAATACTTAATATTCACGACTTTATTAAACAAATCTGTATAAAATTTCGACAATTACGACGACGATAATCAGAACAATTTTTCGAAAAACGACAAAGACGTAACGACCTCGTTACCTTTTTTTTTTAATATTTTTTACGGCATTGGATATCGCGATAGTGTTGCAGTGCGTATTGTTGTGAATAGTGAAAACCTACAAAAAAGTATATTCAAGTAATAAATTAAAATATGTTATTATTTGGGGTCGGCGTACCATTTATAAGTACTTATTTGTGTATTATAACAAAGCACACGTGTATTTAATTTATTAATATGTATACGTAATTTTGTTATCATTATGAAGTTGTGCAATATAGTATAGCTATAGCATATGAATAATATAGTGAGAAACAACAATAACAATACTCCTGGACTATAATATATCACCTTTATTTATGTATTAAGGTTTTAATAAATAAATAATCACAACTCTATCTAGTCCCAAGGTAGGCTGAGCTTGTGTTATGAGTACTAGACAACTGATATAAATACATATTTTGTTTATTACATTCATAATATACATAGAAAACACCCAGACCGTTACAAACAACCATTCTCATGAATACAAGTGTTTGCACCGTGCGGGGAATCGAACCTGCGACCATTGAAACCTAATGTGCTAAATCGCTAGACTATACTATATATATTTTTGTAAATACATACATAATATGCATAGAAAACACCCAGACTGACACAAACAATCATATTTATTATTTGTGGGAGGCATCGAACCCGCGAACATTGGAAGTAAAACGGTGCTAAACCACTAAACCACCGAGGCCGTCCAATCATCATGAAAATCCGTTTGGCCGTAAAACAAACTGGCAAATTGATTAGCATACATTATCAGGGAGGATGTCGCCTCCGCTCGGTGTTTGTAAACAAGTGTCATAACGGTGGACGGTGACGTCACGCTTATCACAAACCTTATCAGCTGAATCGAGTCAGCATGTATGTCGCCCCTACGATCGTTCCCCCGTCCAATTCAAACGGGGATCGAAATTACGGCCTGAGCCGAGGTTCGAACCCCTACCGTATTTTTAAAATTTTTTTTATTGGTTGTTTACGCTATTAGGTGCTAAGATCTGTAACACTGCGACCTGTATAGATCTATTGTGCTCGCCGTTATTCAAAGTTCGCTACCTAGACCCATAAGGGACAAGAATTTTTTATTTTTTAATAATAATAATAAATTTATTTCATTAACATAGATGTTTTACAATTTTTTTTTTACATATCAACAATCACATATTCTTATTTATATATTTCCTTAAGCCGGGGCTGGGATCTCCTTGTAAGCATATTCATATTCTTAGGAGAGATGGGTTTTATCTCCTCAGGATATAGACTTTCCAAAGAAGATATTTCGTTTATGCATAAGAGGGCTACAGCCACATAGGATGTCCCCTACTGTAGCTCTCTGACTAAACTCGTATCCGTCAGGCGGGAGTTGGCCTTCAGCCGCTCCATAAGTTCTTCCTTTGGTTTGGAGTGCCATCTGCACTCGCCCCCTATCGCTTCGGACAAGTCGTATCCGTCAGGTTGGAATTGGCCTTCAATCGCTCCATAAGTGCTTCCTTTAGTTTGGATGTCATCTGCACTCGCCCCCTATCGTCCGGTGGAGCTGTAAAGGCCAGCTGCGGCCAACAGCATTAGAGTAGTCCAAAAAAAACGTGTCGATGTCGATGCCGGTAATGATTTGTTACAATAACATCTGACTACACATAAGGTAGTCTACGTCACGGTGACGTCACTATACAGATAATAAAGGAATAAACTCGTTGATATAATATGCGCATTTGTTTGTAGACACATGTAGCGTCGTAGTCTTTGTTGCAAATTAATTACACATTGTTTTGTTATAATTCTGCGAAATATAACAACGCAAAATTGTTATCCGCGCTGTAGTGTAGTTACGTATCACTAAAGTACGATTATTAATTCCAGTCAGTAAAATGACAAGTGCAACTGTCACTGACACAAAAAAGGGTGACCCGCTACAATAGAGATGCCCGGCAATCAATAGACTTAGACATTTAGTCATGCTTTATTTTATTAGGTATCAAAGCCTTTTTTTTATTTTAAATATTTAATACATATCGTATTAAATAATACGATTTTAGAAAAATGGACCTTACCAGCATATTAAAATTTCTCACTATAAGATTATTACAAAAGCTGGGAAAAAAATTAAAAAGAGATTCATTGAAATTAATACTAGAATTTTTATTTACATAAAGGCAAATTGATATTGAATAAAAAGAATGTAATCTCGACTAACTTTGAATTGTAAAAACTCGATTCTATCACAGCACTATTTATATGGGACTAAAAACCTGCAACACTGGAAATGTCATTTTACTGACTGGAATTAATAATCTTACTTTACGTAGTATTTTTTTTATAATCTAAATTTATTATGGGGTTTTTGTTTTTAAATATGGTCGAGCGCAGTGATGGCTGGCTCATCCGTCATACTCGTGAACGGGTGCTGCTTGTAGGGACTGGTCTGCTCTAATCGCTATGACTGATTTCCTCTTATTAATTGTTTAACCAGTTAGCTGTATATATATATGTATAACCAATATTTTTTCTATTTGATTATTTAATTGAATTAGTGCTATTTGGTAGTTTGTATTCACATACTTAAATTTAAAAATGTAAAGTAACAATAAAATTATTTAAAAGAGCAACACACAAGTATCTTGCTTGTTCTTCTTGTGATGAGTCAGTATTCCGAATGAGCGGTACATTAAAAAAAAATATATGACTATTCAAAAGTGATTCAATGTAAGTTTATTTGAATAAATGATTTTCTATTCTATTCTATTCTATTCTATACATAATATAGCAGCGAACGGCCCGGCAACAACGTCTCCTATGACCCATTATTGTATTCTGTTCGACTATACACAGCTATAATATGTACGGCAGTCTGACCGTGTATAATTGATTAAGTTTGTATGTATCGCACGATTTACGGTGCCGAAACGTGGACACTGACGATACGACTGACCCACCAACTCAAAGTCGCCCAACGAGCTATGGAAAGAGCTATGCTTGGAGTTTTTTTGAGGGATCAAATCCGAAACGAAGTAATTCGCCAGAGAACTAAGTCACCGACAGCTCTTCGTATTTGCAAGTTGAAGTGGCAGGGGCTGGTCATATAGATACATAGATAGATAATTGATTTATTGCCAACATAACAGAAATAATACAATTTACAATAAGACACAAAATAAGAAATAAATAATAACATACAAGTTGGCAATAGGAGCTGCCTCAGCTGTTGCTGATATAAGCACAACCTTAGTGAGGTGCACCTATACAGCGCTGGTTTTCAGGCAGCCCCCATTAATCATAAAAAAAAACTAAGATGCAGATCTGTCGCAGAACCGATGCTCGCTGGAGTAGATGTGTTCTAGAGTGACCTCGAATTGGCAAACGTAGTGTAAGACATCCCGCTAGGTGGAGCGACGACATACGTAGGAGTTTTTTTTATGAATGATAATAGAACGGTGCACCCGCCTGCGCTAACGGTTTACGCTGGCGGGGCACCAGTGGAGGATGATAAGATGAGCATGAGGTCAGGTCAGTTAGCCCATCGTGACAAATTCACTAGGAATTTATTGCGATGGTTTCCAGGGGGAACCGCGTGGAGGTCAACCTGACATGGTACATTGCTAGCAATGGGTCATGAGTCCACATTACTAACAATTCCCTTCCCCCCCAAACGTAGGGTTGCGGGTAGTAACTGGAAGAGAAGAGCTGAAGATCGTGCC